GTTAAAAAAACATTCTTGAGGTGATGTGATCCCTTAACATAAATAAATAAATAAAATTAAAATTTATTAACATTTTTGTAATAATGATAATACTAACTATTATTTTTTTCTTGCTTATCATCAGTTTTCTTTTCTGCTAAATCCGTTTTATGGTGAGTCAGCGTTGATATATACCATCCTTCTAATAAACATCTCAGTCGACTGTCTTTTATAATTGAATTTACGCAATTGCTAACACCTTAGGAAAATCTTGAATTATAGCCATTATCTAATATGTAACAGAGTGCTTGTAATGTATTGTCACGTTTCATAAGGTCCATCTCGACATTCTTCTTATTAGTATGTGGTATAACTCTTTTATAAACACTATGCATCATCTCTTTAAGTGAAACTGAAACGTTTTGTAATATACCGAAAGTTATCGCAATCAATGAAAAATACCATAAAATATGAACGTTCGGTAATGTAGTTATTATATCAGGATAAATCTATAATAAATAAATAGAATAACAATATATAATTATTGCTTAAATTAATAGTGGAGTTGTAAATATCTGGTTACTGTTATTACTTTATACAATTTACTTATCAGCTTTATCAACAATTGATCTAAGTCATGATAGTCGTTTGTATTTTCACAATGAAATTCATTAGCAAACACCTTTGCACACGCTTTTGCAAATAAACTCCAAATTCTAATCACTTCACCCTTCACCTGTCTCAAGTTTGTTAATAAACAATTTTCTTTAACAGTATTAGCAAAACTTCGTTTCAAATGTGAAGTATCCAAAAACCACATTAAAATAAAAGGCATTATTATCACTAATCGTAATGAATCGCTCATCCAATATGATTCGAAATGGCTAATAGGACTTTGAAGTCGCTTCCAATTACTTGGTATCTCAAAAGTTCGTCATACATTATTGAAAGCTTCAAGACCTGATACTTCCAACTCTCGTTTGAATAGATGTTCAAATAACCTTTGTGCCAATTCAGCTAAACAATGAAAAGGATCTTGAGGTGTTTGTACATGACGATCATGCGATAATTCATCTAATATATTTGGTGATAAATGTAACCCATGTTCTTGCACAATTCTTTCTTTTGATGTAATATTTTTAGTAGCTTTAATATTATCGTATATTCTATCTGTTATATGATGATATCGTCCATTTTGGATAATATCAACTTTGAATCGGCTAATTGACCCTGAGAGACTTTGCAAGTACGATATCTATATTCAGCATTTTGTCTTTTTATACCAGCCATATCATTACTTTGTGGAAGATCTGCTGTAACCATTCCAAATCCAACTGTTACCCAGATTTGCTCATCTCTCATTTCCATAAGTATTCCGTTTTGTAAGTCTTTTATATCTGAAATAAATTCTCTCAATACATCATCAGATTCTTCACCAAACGGAATAAATCTGATAAGAAAGTGGTTTCTTAGTTTTCTTCGTAACTCTCTATTCATATTACCAAGTTGTATATAAATTCCTCTGAGTTTATGATATGCCTTATTAAAAGCACCAAAGTCATCGTAATACAAATCCACAAAAATTTTAAAATGTTTCATATTTGGATTTGGTGGTGGCTTAGGAATATTTATACAATATTCAGCCAGTAACTTATGTCGAAGAGAAACTGATCGAATTCTTTGATAGCCGTTAAATGTATAGATAATTTCTTGAATTGAAAATTCGAAAAATGAAGGACCTAATAAATTATCATCTTTAATCTATACATTAGTATGACGAACTATATCTTGAATCCTAATTATACTTCTTAATTCTTCTAGCCATAATTCATTGTTATCCTTCGACCTTTGATTTCGTCTTTTACTTTTAATAGTATTGGGTAAATCATCGAAAGTTCTTGTGGATTGTATACGAAGATAGCGTTCATGTATTGTTTCATCTTTTATCACAATCCTGGTGATTCTACCTACATGAGTCCTTTGATTTTACGATTCTCTATATATTATCCAATCACCTGCTCTAAATGTAACTTTAAGTTAAAGTTATATCGTTAAAACCATATTAATTTACATTATTAAATATAATTGTACTTAACCACTCACCATTGTTTATTACAATTAATGATTCGCTGAATAACGGAGATTCTTTCCATAAATCCCCATACTATAATTCAGTTTTTTCTTTCTTTTCAACGTCAGGTCTGAAATACATCTTTGAAATCAGTGATTGATTATTAATTACACGATGAATATGATCCTTAATCGAAAAAGTATATGCTTCTTTCAATAGTAAAGTTTTTGAAGGAGTGTTTTTCAAATCAATATTTATGAATTTTCCTGTGAATGGTAATAAAGGCAACTCTTTGCGGAATTTCTTAAGAGTTGTGATACTATATGGAACTTGATCTGCTTTAAATTCCAGGTGGTGTATAATCTTAACAAGCTCTTGATAAGCATAAATTCCTATAATAAATTGAGTGTCAATTCAAATGATTAAAGAATATATAAACAAGTAAAACATTGATTTTTGATATAAACCTATCATATTTTTAGTAAACTATATGAACATCCACATGGCAGTTATACTCAGAAAATAAGGTCCACCATCACCTGTATATCCTGGTAATTCAGAATGATTATCATGATATCTTTTTTGACCAGTTGATATATATGTAGAATCGTTATCGTCCAAATTATCATCTTCATCACTCGATACTTCATCAGATGAATCTTGATTTAACAAAGAAGTAGTCAGTGATGTTAGTATTGAATATAATAAATTAGAATCTTTCATTGTTAGGTCGATATTATCATCTGATACAGAATTTTGTAAATCATCTTCAAACTCGCCTAAGGATAAATTTTCTTGATGAACATCATAAAACAAATCGTAATTAGTAACTACAATATGTGAAGAATTTGAATTTCCTGTAATACTACTAGAAGCAATATAATTTGGAGTAAAATTCTGCTTGTTTTTTATTGCATTGTTATAACCATTAATATTGTTAGCTGAAGAATCTAATATTTTTGATTGAATATTTATTTTATTTCATAAACCTGTGTGAGCTTCTGGTTTCCGTTATGTATTAGAGGTTTTCGAAGAGTTAGATATCTTTTTTCAAATGTTGGTTGTTTTGGCATTTTTAACGATAGAAATTATTTTTGGAAAAAAAATGTTTTAGACAATAAATTAACTTCACTATATATAAGGTATTGTTATGTTGATCTGTGTAATATAAATGGTTATAATTTTTGTTTGTTAACATAAATGGTTATGATTTTTGTTTGTTAACATAAATGGTTATGATTATTTATTTGTTAATTTAGATGGCTATGATCGTCTTTTTACATCATTTACTTCATATAAATACATAAAGTTTATTTTAATTGTTAAAAAAATCGATTTTTTTTCTTCATAATATATATTTGAATTATTTTCAACAATGAAAAAAACAAAATAGGTGCAATTAGAAAAAGTGAAGTAGTGTGACGATTTTCTACTCGCTCTATAACCAAGAATTCCTTGGATGATTCTCATATTTCCAATAATACTTTTTCAACTATAAGTCAAGTTCATCCTACTGAAACCAATCGCGGTAAAACCAGATTGGCCGTCAATGCCACCTCTGTATTAACTTCCGGTAAAGTATTAAAATATTAATATATAATACCAATATATTGAACATATGGTAATATATTATTTCTAATAAATTTAGGAGGTCACAAAAGAAATGCCATGAAAACTAAAAGCAATGAATATTCAGACGTGTTGGATTCGATTGATGATCAAAAATATGCCAATACTGATGAGCCACCATATTTATTAGATGAAAAACAAAAACAAAAGAATACTGATTCTGACTCAAATTATACGCCTAGTACATCTTGTAAATCTGATGATACATGTGATTCAAACAGATCTTCTGATAAAGATCAAATCGTTCAATTACGCTAAAAAAGTTACATATGGGTAACGGCTAATGAATTTCATTTAAGCGATGATCCTACAAAAGATGTTGAGGAAAAACATCTTAAACGATATCTTTCTCTTACTACTAATCAAAAAAATCTCTTAACCTCTATTACCATTCAAGATCATCAAGAAAAAGAGTATGAACAACAATCCCAATATATTGCCGATAAAGATATTGCCGATAGAGATATTGCCGATGAAGATATTGCCAATAGAGATATTGCCGATAAAGATATTGCCGATAGAGATATTGCTAATAAAAATATTGTTGGTAGAGATATTACCGATAGAGATCCTATAATGGATATCCGTCAAAACTCGACATCTTCTTTTTCCTTATCACAAACATCAATTTTAACAATACCAATTGTTCATCTGGTTAATGATGATGTGAACCATATAATTTATTATATCATTAAAATGTTTTTCATATTTCAAATTAAATTCAATATATTTGTTTATTTTTAGGCTACAACTGGAATGCTTACAGATTTAGTAAATGAAACCAAGATCTTATTCTTAAGAACTCGTGATCCTTCACATTCAGCCCAGCTCCAATTGGTAATGTTAGTGGCTCTGGGATTTACCCAGAGTAGCAGGACGATCAGTTTTCTTAAATCAAAAATCAATTCTTATTATGCGGACCATTGAACGCGCTTGAATACTGAAATTAGGGCATATAGCGAGAATTACATTCATAATAATTCGTAAGTATTAATATGATTTTTTGTATACATCTGATATTCAACTATTTATCTTAATTCGTTTCTTATTTTAGAATCACTCTCGATAATATACCAACAATCGAAAATTTGAAGTTATATGTTGATGAAACATGTATATATCAATGTTTCAAAACTTCAATGATACAAGTGCCAGAAGATTGGTGGGATGAGAATCTTACTGATGTTGAAACATTTTGATTATTTATTTCTTCTGCTATAAAGATCTATATGAACAACATCTTAAAATGTTCTATCGATCCACATCTTAGTAATGCATCAGCCCTAAATGAAGTTAAATCTCTCGATTATATAACAAGTCAAGTATGTCTTCCACATATTCATACAACTAACTTTGCTAATCAAATTAATCTCAATTCTGGAGCTGGTCAAATTTCAAGTCGTCGAGGTCAAGGTCGAAGTCATGGTAACAGGTTTGCTAGAGAAGCAAGGCATCATCTTAGTCACTAAATTATATTTATTCATTGTTTTTATTACTTATATATTGCAAATATAAAAACATAGCAAATACTTTACGTTAGATTTTATAAATACAAGTATTATGATAATTTATTTTACAATGGATTATCAAATATTTATATATATATACGTATAATCTTTTTAAAAAATCTTACAATACATTTTTAAATATATATGTAATCCTTTTAAAATTTTATAATACATTGTCAAATATATATACAATCTCTTTTTAAAATTATAATAGTTTATATAACAATTGTCTATATATTATATAATACAATTAAAAAATTTATCCTTGATAGTAAAGTATTAATACTTATGAATTTATTATCTATTAATTTAAGTTGAACTATTAAAAATATCTTATTTAGACTTAGAAAGAGCCTAAAATAATTTTTTTAATTCTGCAAATTTTTCTTTAGAAATTCTGAAAAGTAATTACAATCACAATTTTTTCAAAAAATCAATAATTTTTTAATATTTATTAAAACTATTATAATATTACTTTTGTTAATACTTTTCTATATATTATTTCTATATATGATTTTATTTATAATTGTTTAAATAATAAATAGAACTTTGCAATAGAAAAGAGAAAAAATAAAAAATGAGTTAATACTAAATCAAAATATATTTTGACCTAAAAATCATATTTGATATATAAAAGTAAAATTGATTTTTTTCATTAATTTTCTTCTTTTTTATTGCAAATATTTCATATTTTTTCAATAAAAATTAATTAAATATGGAATTATTATCTGTAATAAAATTAATTGATTAATTAAAAATTTGATCTGATTAATATTAAAAAGTAAAAATATTAACTATAATATAAAAACAATAAAATTAGCAAAAAGATCCTAATAATAAGTAAAAAAAAAAATTCATTAAATAAAAAAAAAATAAATACTTTATATACTTTAATAAAAAATAAATTTTATATTATCTATTAAAAAATTTTTTATAAAATGAAATAAATTGCAATATCAAGAAAAATCCATTACTTTATATATTTAAAAATAATAATATAAATTAACATAATATGTTAAGCAAATAAAAATCATGCTCTTTTTTTATTAATTTTCCTTCTTCTACCCCTTGTGGCCAATTAATATCATCAGAATAATTTATAAATAATGGATATTTATCTACATTATGTCATCCTGCCCAATCAAAATCAATTAAAAATATTTTTTTTGAATCATGATCATATAAAACATTATTTGGTCTTAAATCACCAAAAACTATATCATTTTTATGTAATATATCAATTAGATATTTAATATAATTTTTATATTTGATTTTTCTTCAATAATAAGATCTTTAATTATATTCAAAGGATAACCTATATAAATCAAATAAGTATTAATCATTATTAAATTGCTTGTTAAAATTTTGAATTAAAATTTTTATTATTTACTGCTTTCATAATGATTATTTTCTATCCAAATATAATATTATTCTGAATTTCTAACAAATTTGGTGATCCATTTTCTCTAATACATAAGTTATATGTATCAGTATTATATTGTTAAATAAATTTAACAATAATTTTTTGATTTTTAGCTTCTGCTGTTAAAACAAGTGATTGAATATATAAAGTATAAGTAAAGGATACATTATTGAAAGTAATTGGAAAAGGAAAATAAATCTTGGTATCAATATCATAAGATTTGGATTGCAATTTATTATAATAATCAACAAGACTTCTAAAAGATTTACGTAAGGCAGTAAATATTCTAGCAATTTGTATAAATTGTGTGATCTCTTATAGAGACTATAGGAATTATATTTATGAGATTATTCACTTTTATAGAATCTGTAAAAATAATACCTAAAAAAATGTTAACATATTAAATAATCAAAAACTAATACAATATATTTCTTACCAAAAATGCATAACCATTGTCTTACTAAACACAATAAAAATGTTAGACAAACAGATATATTTGAAATTTCTTTATATTGTTGAAATTTTCCTTTCTATTGACCTGCCTAAAATTTTGTATAATAAATAGATGCAAAAATGGATCACATTCCTATATAAAAATTTCATTTTTCATATTATGGATAATTATTGGAATATATATATTGATTCCATTTACAATTTTTGACCTAAATATGTATCCATCATTTTGCAAACTATCATTAATCCCTTTCTGAAAAGGTTGTTCAAAAGCTAAGGTAAAACTCTGTTGTGACAGATTGTCTACTTTTCTTATTTATATAAAATTCTGACATAACCTTCACAAAAGAAAGAATTTCTTTACATATTTCTATATTCACTTCAATAGTTGAACAGTCTTTGAGAAATTGTGAGAAAACTTCATGGTATAAAATAACAGGTTGTCTAATATAATCTAAATCTGGTAGGCGATGACATTGTATATTAGCATTCTTTTGATGGTTTGAGAATACTTGATATATAACAACAATACATAAAGAATCAACCAAATGAATGTAATCAATAGTAAATAATCATTTCTTTCTTATATTGATAATATCTTCAGTCCATTCATGCTTAGTTCTAGTAAAAACTATAATAGAATAATAGCAATAACAGATAAAAGGAAAAATAACCAATAAAGTTGTTTGTATTTTGTAAATATAAAATATTTAACATAAAATTGTTTTTACCTAACTCTTTAATGAATCCTTTAATAAATAAAAGATAAATAGAAAACAAAAGAATTAATTTAGGATAAAATGAGTGGATAGACAGATTTAATTAAAATGAAATATTTAATAATCGATATTACAAATAGTATACAATTACTCAAATGAATAGGTAATGGGAACTATTGTAATGTCTGAAGCGTTAAATTATAACGATAATATCACAGAAGAAATTCGTTGATATTCCCTTAAAGGTTAGTGAACAATTTAAAAGTAATTACATCTGAAAATCAGATCATGTGACAAAACAATATAACAATACATCTTATTAGTCGATCACGTGTGCAGACAAGATGAACATTGCATTAAAATGAGTTTAACCGAAGATAACATTAGCTACACTTCAGACAAATAAATGAAAAGAAACAAATAGAAAATAAATTTTTATGTGATTTGTTCATTACCTTCCTTTACACTAAAGCTCTGAACAGTTCAGTTCAGTCCAGATTATATGCCAATTCATATCTGAACTGAAAATTTCAGTTTGGTTCAGTTCAGATTATTAATCTTAAAAATGCTAATCTGAATCTGAACTGAACTGCAGACTGGTAAAAATCTGAACTGAATCAAAATTTTTAGATTAATCTGAAATTACAGTTCAATTATATAAGGAATCCACAATTTATATGCGAAACTCTAGGAGAATCGCAAAAAATTGTGAATTTCTCTTCAAAATTTGCAAAAATTTGTGAAATTTGATGAATAATCGCAAAAATTTGCGATTCTTCAAGTTTTTACAATTTTTTGCGATTCTTTAAGAATTTCGCAATATTTTTTGCGAAATACTAAGAGAAATCGTAAAATTGCGATTTTTCAAGGATTTCACAATTTTTTTTGCAAAATTTGAAGAGAAATCGCAATATTTTGCGACTCTCCAAGAGTTTCGCAATTTTTTTGCGAAATTCGAAAAAAAACCACAAAAAATTGCAATTCTCTAAGAGTTTCGTTAAATTTTTGTAATCCTCTTAAAGAATTCGCAAATTTTGCGATCCTTCAAGAGTTTTGCATATAATTGAACTGAACTTTCAGATTAATCCAAAATTATTAGTTCAGTTCAAATTTTTTCAGTTCAGATTAGAATTATAATTCAAAAAAAATCTGAACTGAATCGAAAATTTTCAGATTGAATTTTATACAATCTGAAACTAATCTGAACTGAACCGATCTGAAAAATCTTCAGATTAATCTGAGCCATTCGAAACTTTCCCTATACTGAAATTCATTAATACATCCTGTAACTTCTTCACCTGCTCTTTTCAATAATCATTATTTTTTTCCAATTCTTCTTTTTCTTTCTTCAACTTAGCCAACCTCTTCTCCTATTTTTCACTCAAGATCCCCTTCATAAATTCATCTTCTATCTCATTCAACTTCTTCCCTTTATATTTTCCTTTCTTCCACTCTTCAAACTTCTCCACAACCTTCTCATAAAATCTTTTTGCATTGTCATAATAATTTTTTGCATCATTAGATTTAATTACTTCTGTTATGTTTTTTTTAAAAAAAAAAATTATTTTTAAAAAAAATTTTTTCTCATGCAAAATTTCAACCATTGATAAATTAGTAGACACATGACTTGAAAAAATCAGTTCCGCCAATCAATTTTTTTACAATAATTACTACATATAGTAAGATTTGCTGAAAATTACACTATATTTAGTAATTATTGTAAACAAATTGATTGGCGGAATTGGTTTTTAATTAGCCATCAAAATTAGCCCATATGATTTATCTGAGAGTCTTGGAAATTTTTTTTTGAGTTTGGAGTTAGGAAAAGCTGGCTTTGAAAATTATGATACTAAATTCTTTAAAGCCTTATTGCTTCTGCTGATTATATTTTAAAATAAATATTTTACTCAATTTTAAAATTCAATTTTAGATATATTAAAAATTATTTATAAAGTTTAAAATTTTTTTATAATAAAAGATGATTTTTTTGAAGTTTTTACGAAAAATCAGAATTAAATGGTAGTACAATTTGGTAAATTTTGATACAATATTCACTTTTGTTACTTTTTGTTGTGGTTTTTCTTTTTCTCTCAAAAACTAACTCAAAAAGTAATACTGTTAAAAAAAAAAGTTCATAATATGAAGAAATTAGATAATCAACTAACAATTCAATTAAATATTAAAAATAACTTGGGGCAAAATATCGTTGGAATTCTAGAAAGAAAATCATTGAATAATACCTTTGGAGCGAAACTTGGAATTATTTGTCATGGGTTTTCTGGTAATGCTAGCTGATAGACATTATTTGTGGTGGTGTCAGCATACTTAATCATCAAATTATCTTGCAATATAGGACATAAGAATTATTTATTTCAAACAAAATTATCTAAAGAATTACCTTTTGATAATTTTCGATTTGATTTTAGAGGAAATGGAGAGAGTGATGGTTTACCAAAATTTTTTAAATTACAGGTATAATAAAATAAATAAAAAAAAAATAAAAATAAACAAAATTTTAATGTTATATTTTATGTATATAAGGATGATGTTGAAGATATCGATACAGTTGTAAGATATCTTGAAAGTGAATTAGGATACAAATTATATGCAGCGATTGGTCATTCCAAAGGTAATTTTTTTTTTTTTAAAAAAAAAAATAGTTTTGTTTTTAGAATAATTAATTTATTTTTATAAATTTTTTTCTAGGATCTAATTCCATTTTATTATACGCATGTTATGTAAACCGTAATATTCCACATATAATTAATTTATCTCCTCGTTATTATTTACCAGCAATTCTATCAAAAATGGAAAATTCTAAAGTGGATTTATTGATGAAGCAGGGATATGCTTATTGGGAGGATAAAAGTGGAGTTGGAATAAAAATTACATTAGAGGAACTTTATTTTGACAATTCCTTTGGTACGCGTATTAAATTATTTTTCCCTTAAAAAAAAATTTGATCTGATTGAAATGAATTTTTTTTTTTAGTTTCTAATATGCCGGAAACAACTACTGTGTTAACATGTCATGGAATTGCAGATGAGGTAGAATATATTTCTTTTTCTATCTTTTCATATTATTAATAATAATAAGATTCCTTTTTAAAATCATTAGGTAATTCCGGTTAAAGATGCAGCAGATTACGCAAATTTAATACCAAATCATATAATAAAACTTATACCGAGAGCAGACCATAATTATAGTAATCAGCACGAAACTCTAATTAAAACGATCAATAAATATTTTTCAGATGATTTTCAATATATGAAATTTAATGACAAATATTTATATCGTATTCCCAGATATATTTTTATTGGTGGTGTAAAAAACTTTAGAGATTTGGGTGGTTATGAATGTAATTTAGGAGAACAGAATAATCGAATTCAGCAATTTGTTCGTGAAAGATTTGTTTTCCGTTGTGGGAAGTAAGTTGACTATATTAAACCTTTTTGTTCGGTCCTTTTTTTTCTTGTTAATTTTTTTTAATTGATTTAAAGTTTAACGTCAATTACAAATGATGGCATTGCAACACTTCGAAAGTTAAATATTCAAAAGATTTTTGATTTAAGATCAAATCCTGAAGTTAATAAAATGGGAATAAAGTAAGTACGATGTTATATATATCTATATTATTTATGTATTAATCCCATTTATTTATTTCTTATATTTGTGTGGTTTATTAAAGAAATATTGAAGGAATAATCCGAGTACATGCCCCTGTTTTCAAAGAAGAAGATTATTCCCCCGAAAAATTATTTGAAAGATGGAATTTACATATTAAAGGTGTAGAAGGGTATAGTCAAGGTATTCTATAAGTTTTCCCAAATTCTAATTTACTTTTTCTATTTTCTATTTCAACTTTTTATTTTAAAAAAAAACTAATTTCTTTATATAAAATATTAGCTTATATGACAATTTTAGAAGAAGGAAAAAAAGCATATTATGAAATATTTAAACATATATTAGAACATCAAGCGCAACCATTTATTGTTCACTGTACTGCGGGTAAAGATCGTACTGGAGTATTTGCCATGTTATTATTAAAGCTTTTAGGTGTAAATGATGAGATTATTTCAAGGGAATATGAGTTGACACAGATTATAAAAGGTAAAACTGTTTTTTTTTTTTGTCAAATCAAATAAGGATTAATGACAAAACTTTATTTACAGACCCACAGAAAATTAAATTCATTATTAAAACGATGAATAATAAATATGAAGATGATGGAATAAAAGAAATGTTAAATGCGAAGTAAGTATTTTAATATTGTCATATCATATTCCATATTCAATTTTTTAATGAACACTTCTTTTAGATATGAATCTATGATATTGTTTTTACGAAAATTCCAAAATCATTATAATACAGTAGATAATTATTTATTACAATGTGGATTTACAAAAGAAGATATTGAAATTATAAAGAATAATTTGGTATTCATTAATAATGTACAAAGTTTTAAATCAAATAATTTAATAAGGTCTTCATTATAAAATTATGTAAAATTTAAGATTTTTATATAATTAATAATTTAAGTTTCTACATCCAGCAAGTCTTTCCCCATTACAAAATAATCCCTATCTTAATAACAGCATTTACGAAGGATTTTTTGGCACCAATTGTTGCCTGCCCCGTTTCTTATTCACCTTTCTAATCTTTTCTATTTAGAAAATCGATTTGAATAAAAGATCCTATGGATCTTCTTTAAATTTTTTTTTTTTACTTTCATCAAGGTGGTTGCTCATTTGAGTGGTATATTGTTAATTTTCTTGGCGCTACCTTTTATTATACAATCTTTATCGATTAGTGATATTCGAAGATTTGGAACATGATCTGCATTAATATATCTGAATGATCTATAAATAAGGATGGTTCCAATAGAATATAAAAAAAATTTTGATTTAGTGTCAACAGTAATGATAAACCAAATTATACATGATAAGAATAAAAGAAGATTAATGAAATCAAAATTATAATAAATGAATGTTTTGATTTCACGCTTAATATTTAAAGATTAAAATTAAGAAATATTTTACATTAGTTGATTCGTTTTTCTTCAAGAGAAACACTTTTTATTAATAAAAAAAATTATTTTTTTCCATTACCTTCTTGTCAGCAAAAAAATAGATTTTATCAATGTTCTTCCCTTTATCAGATCCAATCAATTCTCTCAATATATCTCCGATATCTTTAATACATTCATCGGAATGTATCAAATAACCAACTTCTTTGCCGCCTTTTACACCTTTTACACCTGTATTATAAATCATTTTATAAGGATAATTAAATACATTGATGTAGAGTAATGTATCTTCAATAAATTTTGTTAATGTTTTTCCATCAACTTTTGATAGTATTTTGGATTTTGTTGTTTGGAATACATAATTTTTTGAAAATATTAATTCGATTTTATCCATTGAGGATCTTTTGGAGAATGATCGCGACATTGTGATGGTTTGTATGGATTTAAGAATCGCATTTTATATCGTGAGCAATGATGAGCTTTATTCAGCCTTGATAATCTAAAAGTTTTGTTTTATAGACCTGCTTTTTATGAATGATTAATGATGACGTAATTTATACTTGCTGTACGACACTTAAAATTTTCGGTGATTAAATTTAAACCATAGTTGGCAAATATGATGTAATAATAATAAATAAAATGAGTAAAATTTATTATGGTATGTTCTAAAATGGACCAACCGGATTAATTAATTCAGCATTTGCCGATCATTCTAAAATTAGATAAATTACCGTATTTTATAAGCATAGCATCATCAAAAATAAATATAGATTATAGATTACAAAACGTCACTATTTCAAATTCTCTTTCAATTTCTTTAAGAAATTCATCAATTTCTTCATAAATAGCATCATTATCTAATCCATCTAAAGCATTATATACCATATTTTTTAAAGAAGTAGATAATGATTTTATTAGAAATATTGTCTCATGTATGCTTTATCTATCCATAAACATCACTTATTCTAGCATGTTGAAGATTTTCTGCTTTAGTATATTTAGCATATTATTAATAAAACCAAATAAAAAATTAATTTAAAAAAAGTATTAGACCAAGAAAATAAGTAATAAATAAATTTAATTTCTTTTATACAATATTTATCTAATAAAGAAATTTTAACAGCTAATTATCTTATTATAATTATGTATAATTCTAAAGATCTAAATGAAGAAAAACTTATTTCTTCTTATTTTAAAATAATATAAAAGAATATATTACTTAGATTTTGCATTAATATTAATTTATATATTAATAATGATAAATATTAAATATAAAAATTAAAAATTGATTGCAAAAAATTTCAATAGCAAAATTAAATTTTAATTAAAAAAACATAATCTCTTGAAATATAAAACAATCATTTTTATAATTAAAATACAAATTGAATATCTAAGGTTGCTAAATAAAACCTAAAGACTTTATAAGTTATCTAAATGATAAAAGGTAAATTTTAGTAAAATTTTGTTAAATTTTATTAAAAAATCTGTAAAATTTAGAAAAAGATAAAACTTTATAAAAATGCAAAACTATATTAAAACCTTAATAAAAAATTAGTAAAGATAAAGTTTAGATATTTTGCCAAATCTAAAATAAATTAAACAAGCAATTTTATAATTAGATCATTAGTTTAAAATATATAAAAAGTTTTTTTTAGAAATAATTAAAATCTATTTATCAAGTAAATAAAGTGAGAGTTTATATCTAATACTATTAAATTCGCTATTAGTATTTTATAAGTTGGCTAAATATTATATATTCTATATAAAATATATGCAATTAATTTATCACAAAATTGTTTAATAATTCGATATTGCATATTTAACATCAAAATATTTTTATATTATATGTTAATAGGGTCAGTAGAAGTAATTTTCTTTTCAGGATCATTTACTTTTTCTAAATATATCAGATAATATAGTTCTGTAATTTAAAATCTTAGTTGATGAATTAATATAAGGTGAAGTAAAAAATTTTATTTATATTATCAATTTTTAAATCAAAAGAATTAAGTATTAGCTATAATTATAGCATATTTAAAGATATTTTTAACTATAATGCTAATACTATTTTTAATACTTTTATAAAATATATAGAATAAGATAATTTATATTTTAGTAAATATGCATTATAGGTAATAGTCTAAATTAAAAAATTGTTATTTATTTAATAAAAAATATATATAAATTTAATTCAAATTAAATTAAACTTTATATAATTCAAATTTTATTTAATAATTTTGAACAAAAAGCATTTGAAATAATTTTTAATAATATTAATTTTAAGAAAAACTCACATCTACAATTTATTTTATTTAGTATAAAAATTATATAATAGTTATAATTTAAGTAATAAAGATAAATCACTTAATATAAATACTTATATTATTCAAAAATTAAATAATTTCTTATTAAAATTTTATTGTAATTAAAAATGGATACTGTAATTAAAAAAATAGTGCAATTGAATTGCAATTTATAATACAATTAAATTTTTTTATAATATAAATAGGTTGTAACTTAATTGAAAAATTTGAAAATAATTATAAGAATCATCTTTAATTATAATTAATATCAGTTATTATAAATTATGAATAGTTAATTGATATTTTATTTATTATTTTATATATGTAGTTAATTTTCTATATAGTTATATTTCTTAATATTAAAAAAATTTGATATAATTATAAGAAAGTTATATAATATGAAAATAAAAGTAAATTTTAATAAGTTTATTATTAACTTTAGTCTAATAAAATATATTTATAAAGAAGGAATGCTATATAGAAGATATTTATATAAAAGTCAACTTATTAAATAGGAGGCAGTCAGTAAAAAAAAAGAAAATCCATTTTTAGTCAAAATTTTTTATTGGTTCACTCTGCTAATCATGATTATATGAACAAAATTAGCTTATAACTAAAATTATTCAAAAATTGTAGATTTTCTCCTTTTATATTGATTACCTTTCAAATTTATTAAAATTAAAAAAATATAAAAAATATCTAAATTTTATCTTAGTAATTAATATTTTTTTTAAATTTTAACTTGAAATTCAAATAAATAATTAAGTTAAAGATTAATTTTTTTTAAACTTTTTTATAAAACTTTAATGTAATTTATTATAGAATAAAAAATTACTTAATAAATATATATGTCAAACTCATACAGAAATTGAATTTAGTCTCTATTTTAAATGATAACTTAATTAGATAGTTGCTGTGTAATCTATTATTAACCATAATTATCCTGAAAATATTTTGTTACCTAATTTATTAATTACTTTCTTACTTGTATAAGGGTCTTAAATAAAGATAAAAAATTAATTGCATTATTTTTAAATTGATATGCTTATGAAATGCTTAATAAAAATTTTAAATAGCATAAATTTCTTTAAAAATCCTATTAATAACTTTAATATATTTTTTAGATCAGCTTTAAAAGTTATAAATTTATTATTTAATAAGAAATTTAAATTTATAATTTAGAGTATGAAATTGTAAAAGCATTAAAATCTTTTAAAAATAATTTTAATATAATTTTATTTATTATTAACAGTTTATCAACTTAAAAAAATCATTTACATTTAATTTATATTATATGATTTTTTATATAATTTTTAAATCTTTATCTTTTGATTTGAAATTGCAAATTTACTTAAAAGATAATATAAATAATAGAATAACAAATAATTTTGGTTTAAATGAATTATTATATTAAAATAACAGTTTACTTAAAAAATTTATATAATTTGCATTTATGATAAATTAATATTATATCATTTTTTAATATTTATAATTTTGTTAAGAATCATATTTATTATATAATTATTTATTAATAACAAATTGAAGGTTTTTTAATTAACTTTATTTAAGAATATATGTAAATATATCATTACCAATAAAATAGTTAGAGTTTCATTTATTATATAATAAAATCTTAAAAGAAAATTTAGTTAATAAATTAAAAGAAATGTAAAATTAAAAAAAATTGAAATAAGAAAGCTATATTTCAAAAAGTACAATTTTAACTATTTAGATTAGATATTGCATCAAAACTTTTCGAATAAATAATTTATTAATAATTAAATCATAATTTATATTGTAAATTATTAAAATACTTTTTATATAATATATAACCCAAATTTTAAAAATAATTTCAGTTTCAAATAATTTTATTATAAAAAATTTTAATAGTAAATTTTATTATAAGATCTGATATAGTTTTATTAAACTATACTGATAATATATTCTAATAACACATTCATTTTATTCAAATTTTTTAGTTCTTTTGTATATAGCTATGCTATCAATACTTTTCATTTGAATTATTTATTATATCGATGAACTTGAAATTATCTTGAAAAGATTATAATTATTCAATAAATTATTGAAAACTTTATAAATGCAAGTTAAATAAACAAAAAAAATAATTAGTTAATTTATTTAATTGTTTCTTATACAAGAAGAGTTCTTGATTACGAAGATATCACATTAAGATAACCGTATTGTATACTTTGAGAATAATTCTCCTAAGTAACATAAGTGTAACTATGTACATTTTGACCATTTTAATACTAGTAAACTTAGTAGATATCACATTAATTATCATGATAAGATTCTAATCATTACAATTAGAGACCTTATACAGGATCAGATGTTTTTTTTTTAATGATTATTCAATTGCTAAATGAAATTCTCTATAATTTTTTTGGATACAAAAAGTTTATCTTCTATATACTTTTCACATTACATTAAAAAAAGAGAACTTGAAATCTATTATTATCATCTTTATCCTTTGCTATGAAAGTATTATAATAAATGGTATTATTATATGCAAAACTAATAATTCCTAATAAAAAGAATGGTAGTAAGAGTGATTTATATAGTATTTTAAAGTAAGATTAGCATTTTCCAATTAAATTTAAATAAAAAAAATTATATTCTAATATTTGTTTGATGTTCATTTTCTAATTTTAACCATAGCGATCTCATTACACACATTTTTAAAAAGAGCACCATTCGAATCATCAAATTGAGAGGAATTCAATGATAGTTTATTTTATCATTAGATGACAAGAAAAATGAAAAAAAAAAAAAAATAGATTAAAATTGTGTTAATTATCAAATTAAAAATATTAATGAAGAAGGGCTTTATCAAATATTAATTAAATAATAAAATATATGTATTTTTTTGTTTCTCCTTTAGAATATAAAAAAAATATTCATCATTTTCATTCATGGCATTAAAAAAACTAACCGCCATTATTTTCGCCGGGTCTGTATATGTGACAGCAACGCGATGGAAGGGTATTATCCTTTGGAAACGTGCACAGACATCCTAGACAGTGACTTATCGGAATGACAGGGCACCAATGAGCAGTTGCGATTCGCTACCTTGATCGTAGTTCCTTTAATGTTTCGCTACATGCAGACCTGCTCTGCAAATCAAGTTTTACGGACAGATGATTTATAATATGAAAGATTAAATCAATAGCTGGGTGGATGTGAATTTTTCTAAACTATTGAATCCTTGACACGTTTTAAATATTTTACAGATAACCAAATAAAGAATAGTAGAAATCGAATAATTCTGTTATTGTTTGCTTTACTAGCACGTTATTTAATTTTTATTTGAAGGCCGCAGTATGGAGGACGACAATTTTATTGATGAATTCGGGATGATTAAAAATTTCGGATATAGATTTTCCCTAGGGTATTCATTATTTTCGTTCCAATCTTGTAATTACTCAAAATCAATCATTTAATATTAAAAAGATCATTTATTATCATTCATAAAGAAAAATCAATGAAACTTTTAAGGTATATATAAAATAATTAAAATTAAAAATTAAAAGAGGATTGTTAATAAGAAATAAAAAATAATAATTACTAAGTATATAATACTATACAACAAAATTTCCCAAGTTCAATTAATTTTTTCTATTCTAAAATGTTTTTTTTATTTTTTTTTTTAAAAAAAAAAAAAAAATTAAAAAAAAAATAGTCTAGAATTTAATAATTATGTAACAAATATGCAGTTCATGAATGAAGGAAATAAAAAATGTATACAAGAGATTAAAAGTTTCCGACCTGCGAAATTCTCTGAATTATTTTTATTTTTTTTATTTTTTTTTTTTTTTACAAATAAGTCCTTTTAATAAGTATTTTTTTAGGAGTTATTATAAAACTCCAAAGTTGGACTTGGTATTATAATATTAATATCAATTTCGTTAAGACCAAGGCTCGATGCATTATTATCATCGGAAGAAGGTTTTTTCTGTAGACGACGTTTTACAACTCCTTTAAGATTACTGAGACTAGGGTGCCTTAATAAAGTAGAGATTGAAGAATTATCAGTATTAGATCTTGTGGGAGTAGTTGGTCCATATACAATTTTATTTTCATTTTTTGCTAGAGAAGAATCGAATGATGCTGATCTTCTATGGGCTCGTCTTCTACTACGTCTTTGATGATCCAACGTTGGAGGAAGAAGATTCTTTGAAGTGGACGATTCTGGAACATTTGGTATCAAAGATTCACGTGGACTTGAAGGAGCCGAATGAATCTCAGGTGTGATTGCAGGTACATCATCCTCATCAGGCATGTTAAGATGCCATATTGGACTATTGGTTCGAGCATATAAATGATTTGTTCTTGAATTATTAACATCTGATAAACCACCCCTTAGACTTGTCGAAGTAGCTAAAGTCCTACTCCTCCTAACTGATGATCGTTGGTACAATGATGGTGATGTGTCAACAGAAGAAGAAGAAGAAAAGGCAAAATTTTGTGAAGCCAAGTCTAATTGAGGAGATGTCTTTGAACGATAATTATTTGGAAGGGAAGGAATAGCCGGATATGAAGATAAGGTAGGTGATAAATTTGGTGTTAAAGTTGGTGTTGTAGACACACTTTGTGATGGAGAAGTTGGACGAGAACTACTTTCTGAACGTAAAAACAACCTTCCTATGGCTTGGGCTAAAGAACGCTGACTTTTCTTTTTATGTAAAGGAGGATGTAAGGGTAGATGTTGATCCGAAACCGAGGTCGGAAGGGGTGATGAAACATTTGTATTTGAATTAATCGTGAAATAATCGGGGGTAAGAGGGGAAGGAGTTGGGGTAACAGGACGAGAATCACCACTACCATCTTCATAAAGATTTGGAGTCGTGGGTCTTGTACTACTTCTCGAATGATTTTGAGAATGTGATTCTGGGGTCATTGGACGAGAAACAACTTCTTCTTGAGGTAGAGTGTCGTTAATATGATTGATGACATCATCATAAGTTGGTAAATCATTATTTGAAAACATGAAGAGACGATTTGCTGTATCATCATCAGGTATTGTCGTAACGATAATTGGAAATCCTAATTCTAAGGTCTTCTCTGCTCTGGATTCAAAAGACATGGTGATCTTTAATTTATGCCTTACACGCATTAAAGGACTTTTTATAGTTGCTTTCAATTTAGGTCTCTTAGCATTATTATTATTATTATGACGGGAATTATGTTGTTCAATAGGTAAATTATAAGTTAAAGGATTGTCCCAAGTATCTTCATCATAAGAAATATTTAAGGAAGTTGGATGAATTGGATGTGATCTCTTTCGTTTTGCCATTGATGAACTACTCAATTGAACATTTCCAATAAGTTGATTGGGGTCAATTGAAAATTCTTGAAAATCTTGAGGTGACGGTTGAATCCTAAAAAATAAATCGTCGTATTGGTTATTTTTTAAAGAAGGGAAGTCGACAAATTTTTACGAGGAATAAAAATAATTTTTAACTCACCTGTATTTTTCAGATTGTATTAAATCAAAAGTGACCTTTCTCACTTTTCCTTGATCGCAAAGAGGAAGTAACCTTAATCGAATTAATAAAGAATTATCGTTTACGCAAATGATGGTTGGAACATCTAATTCATATTTTAAGATGTCTTTTCTTTGACCTCGATAAACTTTTGTAGGAGGAGCGGGTAAAAGTTCTCTTCTACATGGTAAATAATGCCTTGCGATATTAATGGACCTTTCGACACGACTCTGCTTCGCCAGTAAAGAACTTGGTTGTACTATAGCTACTAATTTATATCTTATAAGACCAAATGATGTAACGTAAGTTTGTGGAATATTCCCATTGATATTAAATTCATAATCTAAATCCGTCACCCCACTTGGCAAAGTGGACTTCTCTCGTAAAACTTTATCCAATTTCACTATATTCATACAAGAATATTGATTTTCCCAATCAGAATATTCGGATTTCCCCTTTAATTTAATTGAAATTAATTTGGTTTTTAATGGTTTCGATAATATTATACGTAGTTTGCCAGAAACTGAATGTGTAATATCTTTATTAGGTGCTCCATACATAACCAGTTTGCCATCATTATTTGGCAAGATATCAACCGCAATAATACTATTATTCATATTAAGTTTATTTTCGAGATTTTAAAGTGTTGTTTATTATTTGTTTATATATATATATATATATATATATATATATTTTTTTAAAAAAAAAAAAAAAAAAAATTATGCAGGAAAATATTGAAAATTAAAAAAATTGGTTGCTTTTTAAAAAAGGCTGATGGAACATTTATTTATATAAAAATAAAAAAAAACGTGGTACCTAATAGGACTTATTACATCAACTTCCCTTAACTAAAACGTCAAGGTTGCACACTACACAACTCATTTGGAAAATTTTAATTAATTATTTATATTTGTAGATTATTTAAATATTGGTGAAAGTATATACTCTGTGATAAAATCAAATAAAGTTCGCATTTATCACTTAATTTTCTGCAAAGAAATAATAAAAAAATAAAGATAATAAAAAAATAAATAATAAAATGGTTTTCAACGGATTCTTTCGCTAACATTCTTTGTCAATCATTTTTAACCAAATTCGGTTTCCTTCCATGAGGGACTTTTATTAAAGTTTTGCCACGTAAAGAATTCTTTGATGTCACTATCACCAAAAAATCATGGCAACAAAGGGTCATGCGGCTGATTCTTTTATAAGATGATCAAACAAAAAAGTGTTATGATGATAGAAAGAAAAAATTAGGTCATCCTTTTTATCTTTCAAAAGATAAAGGAGAATAGTGGCATGTTACGGATGTTCAATAAATAATTATCTATATCAAAAAAAAAAAAAAATGGTAAAAATTATTCTTATCTTTATTTGGTAATTAATCTTTTTTTAATCTTTTAAACACCTATCATTGATAATTATCCATTTTTTTTTTTTTGGTGATTCTCTTTGCTCATATTTTAACAAAGAACTTTCAGAATTTTCCGAAATAAGGTAATTTTTTTTGACTTACTTTGAACAAAAGATTGGGAATGATAATAATCTGTGCATTGAAAGGGTTAAAACTTCCAGAAAAGTGCCATAAGAAATTTGTATACAAACCCCGCAGATCCTATTTCTTACTATTTTTAGACGTTTAATTATATTGCATTTACACAGATTACCTGTTTTGGATCTTTTTGAAACACAATTGAGGATTGTTCTCAAACAAAAACCCTAATCTGTTACACACAACGCATAAACTACGTACGACACTTCGCGTACTTCAATATTGTTCGTGTCTGGATCTTACATTTGTCGCAAATAATACTGCTTATTAAACAAGGTGTGGACGATTTTAGTTCATAAAACCTTAAAAATCCCTTATTTACGTTGATTCGCTCACAAGATCGATCGTCATGCATTCTAATTCTATAGATAATTGTGTTTTGTTTGGCTAGGCATTAAACCTTAGCATAATTTTTCTTTAAAATTGGTTTATCAATCATATTTCAATACTAATTTACAGAATGATGACACGACATATCGACTTTATGAGAGTAATTTATCATCATTCTAATTATATTACCAAACCACGAACTAATTTTTGTTATACAGTATATGGTGATGATCTTTGTTGATGATGATTTCCATATTGATAATAAAAATCTTTTTATCCATATTCCTCAGCTGATCAACCGATCAATTTTATGATCTGATTAGATTTATTTTACATTGACAATAAAATTTACAAATAAATATTTTAAACATCCCACTATTTCAAGCTTTACTATATTTGGATTCCCAATAACTTCTTATGTCATTTTCATTCATCTCGAATTTTTTCGTGATCCATAAAATATCATCGAGATAATCCGATGATTTATCAATTAATTTTTTCAAAAACATCATTCGTTCTTCTCCGATCCTATATTTAGGGTTCCATTTATTAAAGAAGCGGTGAATTTAAAACGAAATGTACATACATATGATACTTACTTTGAATTACTTTCTGTAGGATGTTCTCCTTTAGTGATCAACAATGAATTAAAAAATGATAAATTTGATTCAAATAATTTTGAAGGTCGAATCATACGAACTTCAATGCGAAATACAAGTAATAGGACATGGATTAATTCAATTAATCTTTCCACAAGATTCCTGTAATGTTAAAATATATATATAATCAATCAATGCACTAGACATTTCTAAAATAATAATAATAATAATAATAATAATAATAATAATATCACTAACCTGTTAAAAATTTTACTCTCTTGTGCACCATCAACAGCTTTAAATAAATTACGCATCCTTCCCATTGCATCATTAAGATATGCATCCCGATTCTCTATATCATCAGGAATGGTTATAACAGATTCCACAACATTAGAAATGTGAGACGTATCTATTCCTTCTTCAGACTCCCAGATAAATGATTCGAATAATGTTCTCGATGAAAGTAAGAATGAATCTATCATCTTTACTATTAAGTCAGGGACGTTAATACCTCCCTTGGTAATGACAAAAGGATATTACAATATAAATTATATAAAATTATTTACCTCCCATACCACATTGTTTAATACATAAATGGTCTTTTGGAGCTTTACGCGCCTTTTCAACTAAAGTATTAATAGAACTAATTTGTTCCATACACAAAGCATTCCATATTAAATGCAATAACCCGTTTCTTAATGCTACATCGCTTATTAATTTTGCTTGCTCAATTGCAATTCTCAGTAGATCTGCCCCCCCCAAAAAAAATTTATTAAAAAATAAATAAAAAAAAGTAATAGATGATTATCGAGAAAATAATTAATAAATTTACCGGTATTATCTCTATCCTTTTTAAACAGTTGTCCAAATGTCCAACTTCTGTATATCCAGTATAAATCTGACTTAGGTGAAGTTGAAGTGCTTATCTCCTAAAACAAATCATAATAAGCCTATATGGCACGATATTATTATAGAATAAATAATAAGATATTACATCCAAATTAAGTTTTCCATCAAACTTCAGATCTTTAATCGCGGATATTCTTGTTAAACTAGTTTTCTCAAACTAAATAATGACAAACACAAATTTAGACTACTTAAATACAAATTAACCTTTTGGCAAAGTTTACTTCATGAAGTATACCTTATTAAAATTTAGAGCAGTTAATCCTATTTCTGAAACTATCATTGGATGTGCATCCTTAACTAAATTCCAGCACGTCTCCAACTTAGTAACCAAAGACCTCCAATCAATCTGTTATTGCAATTGCCCAAAAAAAAGAAAAAAGAAAGTTAATCATAAGCAACTTAGTACTTATAGACTTTACAGCATACCTCATGGTCATCTACAGATGGATTTCCATATTGACACGCAATCAATAATAATAAAGCATGACCAATCTATAAATATAAAAAGCAAATTAGAAATTATCAGATATCTTTCTGGTCAATTAGGTTATTAAATATACCTTATCTGTGTTCAAACAAAAATTGATAACTTTACTAAATACAAATTTATCTTCAAAGTTTATTGTGATTGAAGAAAAATTGTTTAATATAATAAATAGAAAATTTGAATTATCTTTTAATATAAAATTAGTTAACGATGCTAAGCTGGTTCGCTCAAACCAAAATAAAAATAATCCTAGCCAATCTTTTGTTGAGATCGGTATTCTTTTTCTTATTGTTTCAATCCATTCGTTTGGTGACGTTGATATTATTAGTGGCTTTAATAAAAAATCAGCTATAGAGGTAATCAGGAATATATATATATAAGGATGTATATTTTTTTTTTGAATTTTAAACCGCATTAAAGGTTATTTACCTAATTGCCACTTTCTTAATTCATCCATCTCATTATCCAACATTAAATAAGCTCCATCGTCTGATGTATCCAAACTCTTCAATAAGAAGGAAGACATGAAAGAACTTGGCCCAATCCCTTTTGTTGCTTCACTTTCATGTTTAGCTTCTTCAGTATTTGTGCATCCTTCAAAGAGAAATTTCACTGACCGTTCAAACGTTTCATCTTCAACAACAGATGAGTGGTCATTGTGACCACCGATTACCGCACATACATTATCATGATTATCTGAACTTTCGACATTCCAACCTTCTAAAGTTTGATAAAGATGTAATAGATTTTCTCGTAAAACTAATTCTAAACGAATTAATTTCTTATCATCTTGACTAATTCCTTTGAATAGTTGACCTCGAATATCATGAATAAATTCCAAGAAATCAAGTGAATCCAACATTTGCATTGAATCTATCGAAGATTGTGTTGCAAGCAAATGAAACGTTGGAGCTAATGAATCCGGAAGTGATATTAACATCTAAAAAAGTATTCAGGTTTATTATAATATAATATAAATAAATAAATATTCCAAAAATATGTTTTACACTAACTTCCAATTGCATTCTAGGATCTGTTATCAAATGAAGAGTTTTCATGAGTTGTTGTAAAAGAGCATCCTTGTTTTCTGCAGTATCCGTCTCATATTTACACAAAAGTCCCCTGAACACATTAATTTGATTGATTGGCTTCCTGAAAAGTAAAGACAAAACTTAATTTCCACTCGGAAAAAAAGAGATTTAAGAGAACTGAGAAATTACTCGTACATGATTGCACATCCAAAAGGAACATGAACTCTCTTAATTTCGCCTTGAGGTCCTATCAAAAAGCATTTAGCCAATCCAGCATTTCTACATCCTCTTCTACCTTGTTCATAAAAACTCATTCCACCCCCCATACTAGTTCCAAGTGGGGCAGAAGCTGAAGTAACAACATGCCATCCTAATCCAATTGAAAATTGTCCAACGCGAATTCCATGACGCATATGATGGATTTCGACAATGCCACGAAGAGGCGCATATATTACAAGAAATAATGTAATTCTTTTGCTTCTTTTTCTATGTTTCATTTCTTCTATAAAAGATGACGAAGTTGATGACGATGAAAGATAATTTTTGGATTTGATTTGAATATATTCGTTAGATTTATCATTATCTTCTGTATCATCATCTTCAATAGCCTCAACCCATCCGCATCGAGCATTTCTTATTCCCTTATACATTGCAATAATTTCTCCCTCTTCAACATCTATTAATGTTACCTAATTAAAGTAAATAAATAATAGATATTATTTCTATATCTGAAAGCAAAAAAAAAAAATAAAATAAAAATCAAGTTACCCTGCCAAATGAATCAGTTAATGCGGCCAATTGATATTTCCCATCAGCTGCAGCAGGTGACATAACAATAGATAAAACTTTTCTATTTGAATCATTTAAAGAAAGCACAATAGGAATAGATTTTGCAGGTGGCATATTAGTCGACGGAGAAACTTCTCCAGTGGCGGAAGTAGGAATTGTTCTAGTTAATAATGATTTTGCTATAGAAAACACAGCATTTGTAACTCTTGATGCTACCATTGATACGGCCAATAAAAATGGTCTGCTCGAATCTGTTGTAGCATAATATGACAACATTGGATCCGATCCTACTGCAATGAACCTTGCTGTAGCATTTGATGTAAATAATGCAGTTGTTACGGAAGATGTTGAGAAAGTCTGATCAAATATATTTGCTGTCCAATGCTGAGATGGACCTAAACCAATATAATATATCAACTTTGAATTTTTAAATTTTGAGGGAAGAAAGTTGAATTTAAAGTGCGAATCTCACCACAACTGACAACATCAACAACATTTTCCTGTCCTTCAAAATGCCATTTCTTAAATGCAAATGAAGTTGTTCCATCAGGTCCTTGACCAGCACTAGCTTCACCTGTTGAACTAGTCAACATATTACCGCTCTCATAATGATTTGATCCAGCACAAATCCTAAGAACCAACCATAAACTTTTTCCATCTATACTAACAACGTTGCCACCTTCAAATAATATAGTTATTTCTTCATCCGCTTCATTGAATGATTGTGAATCTAACTTTTGCTGCGATGACAAAGATGCTGGTAATGAATATGTTGGGAAAATCGCAGTACGAAGTTTTATGGCAATAATTGGTGATGTATCCAATAATTGCGAAATTAATAAATTGCCTGCCTATATGATGGATAAATTTAAAATGATTCTTGATTAAAAGAATTTAAGCAAATGTGGTTTATTAATAATACCTCTGAAAATATCCTAAGATATCCTGTATTATAACCAACTAACACGAATATATGACTAAAATGCATAAATAATATTTAACATACATATTAAATAAGTTAATAATTAACTTTTTAAATAAACACACCTATTTCCAGCTGATGGCATAAAGAAAGGTAAACACAAAATAGCAGTTATATTTTCCCTATTTTAATCGGATGAAATATTTTTTAGTAAGCACTTTTCTAATAGTAAGTATTTGCTGTTATACGAACCCTGCTTCATAGCATTCGCTAACTTCTCCGATAACTTTAAACTCTTTCCTCGTTTCATCCAAACTTAAAATTACAATATAATTTCTAGAAGACCCAACAAGATGATTACCACTATCAGATGTAGAGAATAAATAATGAGGATAATTATTGTTTGTGCTCTGAAATGCTTGCGCCTAAGATTAACAATAAAAAATTTTTTTATTATTATTAGATTTATTTATTTATTTGTAAATGAAAGATTTAACAAATAAGTTACAACCGTATCCGAATTCAATTCCCACGAGTTTTCGTTCGGTATACTCCATATATGTTCTAATGAGAGAAATAAATAAGAAAATGGTATGTAACAATGCATGCTTTATAAGAAAGAATATACATACCTTCAACTTCCTCGACGTGGTTAACCGAAGAAGCTAATATAGCAAGAACATTATGTGGAATTCTACCATGTAATGATAATTGCGGTTGAGTTTTTGTTGTTGTTGCCATTATTAAAATAAGATTCAAAGATTTTATTACAAAGAATAAATTTGGATTTATATGATACAAAAACACGAATTCACTACCACAAAAGGAAACAATTAGGATATAATTTAGAATCCATAAAATTGGTTTATCCATACTGCGGCCTTCTTCAGTTAAAAAATAGCACCTCTAAATCACTTATCATTAAAATTAACGTGAGTAATATTAACTCAATTTTACGCACTATTTTCACTATTATAAAAGACGCGTGTTCGCAAAAGAACGAATAGTATACATATGTACAGTCGCGTCAGAAAGTGACGCCCATTAATATTATATAAAACTTTTTAAATATTTTTCTCTCTCTCGAACATCTTTTTATATTCTGATTGAATTATTACTATTCTGTAAAGTCATATATAAGGAGATTTTTGAAATATGTTTTATATTCTCATCTTTAATTTTTTATTACCTTAACTTTGTTCATTCCTGTTGACTCTTTATCATCATGTGAACTGATTTATGACGCATGAAAGTTTGCATAATATATATATATATAACCAATGTTTTTTTTATTTTTACTTTTTTCACGTAATAAAAATGGAAAGTTGGAAAGCCGCGGAAGATAAAATACAAGAAATATTTAATGACATAAATATACGTGCAAAGATTAGATTTCAACTTCTAAAAATGGGGGAAGCGGATCGTTTGAACTATTTTGTAGGGGGCAACGAGGAAATAAAAGTTACGCTTGAAGAATTTTTAAGTAAAATATCTTTCGTTATAATATGAAATACCTTTTCTTTTTTTCTTTTTTTAACTCCAATATAATGTGCTTTTTTTCCTGCTGCTTATCGACAAACTCTCCCAAAAAAAATTCCCGTTACTGTAGAACATTCCGGTATGTGAGTCGTGAACGCGATTCGGATTGATTTTTTTTTGTTCCACAATAATATCTATATATCGCTAATGATATATTCTTTATCAGAAAAAGTTCCTGATATAGTTTCGTTGCAAAGAGGAATTGTGGAACTTAATCAAAAAATGGATAGTGGTTTTAGGAAGATACACAAAGTTATGGAGGCATCGTTTTATTCATCAGGTATATTATTCATCTGATCTACTAGCCATTTCTGCAAAACTTCATTAATGATTTGTGTTTAGGTACTTTCAATGAAACTGATACGGGTAAATTGGTGCTAGCCGCACCCCCTATTAGCTTTCCATTCGACTTAACTACCAGTACCAAAGCAAGATCACCTGGAAAGTTTAATCGTCCACCTAATAAGGATAAATATGCAAATCCCAGTGAGGCAAAAATACAAGATTATTTTATGTCCGAATGCAAGGCTCTAGAAAATTATGATTTTATAAACAACAAACTTACTGTTATAGATACACATCTTGCTCCAACGTTAGGTACTCGAAAACCGGATTTTTTATTCATTCCAAACGATTCACATTTAGATATGTTAAATGCTGTTGTTGTTGTTGAGGTAAAGAAGCGATTTGGAGAAAATTTTAGCAACGCACAAATAGGACAAGCAATATCATTCGGTGAAAAAACACTCCAACTTCAACCACAACGAAATTATGTATATGTGGTGTTGACGGATTGTCTTATAATTAATATCTACAAAGTAACTAGGGTGGATATGAATAACAACTATCAAAATCCAATCACCCAATTTAAGTACGACCACGTGGCACCCCAGCCTTTAGAAAAAAATCCTGTTTCTGATAAAAGATGGAAATACCTGGTAACAATTTTGGAAAGATCTCCGGAAGAATTGGGATGGATTTGAAATTTGACAATGAAATTATAAATCTGGTTCGGTCTTTTGGTATAGGCAGAACCAGTGTTGTCTATGAAGGAAAGCTCCAATGATAATACACTTATTATGACTCCATTTGGTGAGAAAATCCGTAATTTGCAAAAACAGGATATCAGAGATATCATTATCACCTTACAAAATGTTCATTCACATGGGATTATACATAGAGATCTTAGAAAATTTAATTTTCTTCGCAATTTAGATGATTTAAGCATCTTTATTGCCGACTGGGGTTATAGTGCAGAAATTCTCGTAAACACCACATTTGCAGGTGCATTAGAATGTATGCCAGATGCAATCCTGGAATCATTAATCAATGGGGAAGAAATTATTTATAGTCCACAAGTTGATTTGATATGTTTTGTACGTTCATTTTATTTAATGCTTCATAGACCATCATTAGAAAGAATTCCCTTTGATAGAGATGATAATATTAAGAATCGAGCACAAATGTTATTGAATTTCTGGAAAGGTTGCGCAAAGTCAGAGGTATGGAACAGAATCTATCTTGCAATAGATGGACTGAATTATGAAAAATTAATTCAAGAGATTGAAATGTTGTTTTAATTAGTTTCTATGTAATTATATGTAATTTTGCATTATAAATTTATCTCAATAACGAAATAATAATATTTAAATCATTTATTTGCTGATCATTTAATAATTTTTAAATATTTTTTCTTCTTTATTAAAGGATTAAAATTTTTTTCATTTCATTTTAACCATTTAACTTTTTAAACGGTTTACATCTATAATATTAGCATCATCAATTATGAAGCTATAATAAAATATCACATAATAGATCAGTTCAGTCTAATAATCGTAAAAACCTATCTCATTAATCAGTCTAAGTCTAGTCTTTTCCAAGACTTATAAGATGCTCTCTAATAAATTTGTTATTCTCTTTAAATTTTTAATAATATTTTCTTTATTATATATATAGATTATTAGAAAATTTAAATTACTAATACAAATGAAATAAAGAGTTATGTTTGCGATAAGTTTTGATATAACTTTCTATTAAAAATACGCTTTTTATGTGAAAATTTTTTTTTTTATCGAACATAATGGAAGTAACTAATAAATTAAAAATTTTAACTATACGATTCTTAGTTAATTTAACTATACGATTTTTAATTTTAACAAATATGATTTTAGCTATTTTTAAAACAATTTTATGAGTTCTACGTATGTGAAATTTTTAGCTGGTGACAAATATTAGTCACGTGAATATTCGTCGCCAATGACGAAAGTTTAGATTGACGAAAGCAAGCCCGACCCATTCTATTGTATATTAGAAATATGACTCAATAAAGTGGTAAATCTTTTTGTTACGATTTATCTTACTATAGCTTATTCATGTAATACTAAATAAGCTTTGTTGGTTAGAAACTATGTGCACAATGTTATTTTTTATTTATTTATTAAATTTATTAATTTATTTTTCGCCATTCATCCGACTGATTGACCATTTAATTAGGAGAGTTTAATTAATTTGATTACGGCTAAAAGGTTCAAGTCACTATGATATGCTTTATTTTATTAAAGCTCTTGTTATTTTAATAATTTTCTTACAAGACGCAAAATGACATTCTTGTTCAAAAAAACTAAGGTCTAACTAAAACAACCAATAATCTGAATAGAGAGTACACTTCATTATATGTTTTACAAGAGACGAGACTAATTATTGGACAGATTCCAAAGGAATAGGACAAAAAAAAATTTGTTTGTAAGTATTTCATTCTCAATCTAGATACGCTTAATTCTTACTAAACTCCTAAAATTATTATCGAAAGTATAACCAACAAAATGCGAATCAGTAAAAGCAAGGGAAGCGGTGGACGATTTAAGTGAAATAATTACAATATTGATGAATGAAGTTCTAAGAAAATATAACTGTGGTTTACCATACTATCAAAGGTATTCTTCATATGGGCAACTCTTTGGTTGTCTGAACTATAAAAACCTAAACGGTCGATAGATTTCAACCATTAATAATTTTGGTGGAATTACAATCAATGAATTAAGAGCCAGGATAGCATAGAAAGAGATAGGAATGCCTTAGCAACAAATATGATCAACGGCGAGATGAGCACAACAAGATTACATAGAAGCAATGCAATGTATTTTGTTAGTAAATAATTATTTACCTTTATCTACAGAAGCGGTCATAAGTATCCGACCCCTCATAATTCTTAAAGTTAATTAATAACACCCATTAAAATTGATCACGCGTAAAATTATAAGCTTGTATAACATATAAATCAAAAATTAGATGATCGATGAATTTTGCATGTAAAGTACCGATATTTTTTAATAAATTAAACAAAATAGTTTTTTTTAT